TTTAAAGTATAGCAATTCTTAAAATGCCAGTTAGATATGAAAACCAAAAAACTGATAAATCCATTATACGGAAATAAAGAGGAGGAGGGGAGGAAGAAAATAATGAATTACCTCATTATTCTATCACCTATCGCTGTTCCTCTGATATTATATCTAGTAAAGGGAACAACAACTGAAGTCATTCAAAAATGCTGGGTATCATCTTTTTAAAAGGTTAGCATCTATTATAAAATGTGCTCTACGTATTCCAACTGAGAAGACTGCTCCTCAGTGTTAGTATATGAGACTAGCTTGATTTCAGCAAAAATAGTATTCAGATTATATAACAGTACACAAAGTTGATCTTAGAATATGCAGTCATTGTTCATAGATCATAGCAGAAGTGGAAGCAGCTGCATAATCATTTCCATTTTACATTCATTTTTGTTTGAAATTTTAACCTACTAGTTTAACATTTGCCAGGCTTAGCCTCTGCTCATAGACCAGCTTCTGTCAAAGTCCAAACACAATTAATTTAGTCACTGAGGTAGGAAAACAGCCCTGATTTCTTCTGACTAATTTGTGAAAATTAAGATCAATCCATTAAGAACTGTGCATGAAGAACATACACTGTGCATAGATTTTTTTGTTTTTCCTCACAGGTTACAAAGTATGGTGCTAAGGCAAGTCGTGTACCTCTGCTCCAACTAAATTTGCTGGACTTAGTTTTAAAGAAAATATGCTATGTATGTGCATACTTCAGGATTTAAACACCTGCATACCCTCTTGTATTTCTAAGAAAAGGGATCTTTTCCTATGGATTCCCTAAAATGCCCAGAAGGTTATTTTCTCCATTGAGTATCTATAAACTGCTCTGCTGTACAAAACAGGTTTGATTGGGTTTCTTTTTAATTGAGAAATAACCTGCAGAGTTCCTTAGACATTTTGTTGAAAGGAGCATGTATTGACTAGCTCAATGACAATAAAAAAATTAAATAACCGTTTAGCCTCTTTCAGTCACTGATCTTCACCATTCCCATAGTGATGCTCAGTGGTTACAGAAATGCTTCAAAAAAGAGTGAGGTATCACATTCTCAATTATTTCTTTCGAAGAAATGTCCTTCAGCATCAAAACTATTTCTAGCTGATTCCTAGTCAACATTTAGCTCACTCAGCAAATTTATCAACCAAAGGATCGTTGTATTTTTCCACGTTTTGCTGCTACTACTCCAAGTCCTGCTCAAAATAGTAAAACAGGTATAAACTTTGTGTTTCTGTTGCATAGTCTTTCCTGACAGTTCTCTTTCAGCTTAGTTGTTGAGAAACCACCCTTCCTCATTGTGTTTTGAGATTAACAAGCATCCATAAAAAGAATTTGTCCCTCACCTCTATTCTTAGATTATCCAAGAGAGGGGAAAAAAAAGATACCACCCTTGGTCTAAATACATTAAAAGTTGGATTTGTACCAAAACAAAATTCAAATAATGGAAGCTCTGTAAACATTAGGTTTGCAAAATCGAAAACATTCCATTCATAAATCTGAAATCCACATCCATCTTACTAGAACTAAACTGAGACCAGTGGAGTTGATGCAGCAGGAAGTTCTCAATTTATTTAACTGCAGGTACTGGCAACAGAGCTACAAAAAAGGTTTTTCAGCCGCTTCTTTTCCTTAAGAGGAAGTTTAAGAGCACGATTTCAGAGTAAAGGATCAGAAGCCTATCCTTCCTTTCTCAGTGGAGAAAACTGTACTTTACAGTGGGAAAATCACTCTGAGGCAGTTTCCTGTATATTCACTTCCCCAACTGTGGGGTTTCTCGTCAATATAGACAATAGCTAGTTATTAGGTATATAAAAAACACTACCTAAAGAAACCTAAAATTGGTTATATGTAATGCCATATATTGGAAAAGACTTATTAGCCAAACAGCTTTTAGCATCCAGTTTCAGAATGCTACAGCCTCTTTTCTATGTCCCAGAGAAAAATTAGAACTAAACGTTTTTTGTAGCACGGCATGAAATAGGTTCACAAAAGGTAAGACTGTTGCAGGCTAGTCTTATAACCTTCTCCACAAAGGAAAAATCCCACGCAAGCCCCAAAGCAACTCCACTCTAGATATTCTAGAAAGAGAAAAATCTACTTCATTACTTCTATATTAATGCTATTAATTATTTTATGGGATGATGTATTGAAAACTAAATTATTAGATAAACTTGAGAAAATGAGATTTAGTAAAGGAACTGTTAGGTTACACAATTTACTAAGTGAGAAACAAGAAAACGTAAGCCTATAGGAAGCATCCTGGTGGAGTTAAGCACCAGTCTTGCAGGCAATTTTGTTTAATATATTGCTAATAGTCTTTGAACAAAACATAGGAATGTATTCATGCAGTGCATTGAGGATAGAAGACTGGGTAACTTCATGAATACAGAGGGCACTGTAGGACCTTGAGAAAAAGAGGTGGGTAGAACTTCAGTAGTATAAAATTGATAGTCATACACTGCTGAGCTTCCTTCTGGTGAAAGATGAGAACACATTAATTAGAAATTACAAAGTAAGAAAGACTTCAGTATACTAACTGATCTTGTGTCTGACCACAAGCCACCACTATGAGACAGGAAGAGAGGAGAAGTATGTAACTACAGCTTACTCGTATCTCACAGAATCTTCTCTTAGACAGACACTAATACCATTAATCCTAGAAAAGCCAAACAGTGCAGTGTGCATAAAATTCTGGTCTCCCATATTCAGGAAAGAAGTGGAGCATGGAGGAGAACAGACAGGAACCAGCATGACTGAAGGAAAACCACTTTTCTACTGCTAAGAGTGAGAAAAACTTGGCAATCAGTCTAGCAAGATACAGGCTGAATATGGACAGGGTGAACATCACTGAAATGACATGCACTGGGCATGAAAAAGTATTTCAATCAAAACAGTATCTTAGGACAAAACAAAATTACTAATTTTAGTCAATTTACACTCATTATAGCAACAATGTTTTGAGGTATCTTCCCACTAGTTAATGAGCCAGGGGAAGTTTAAATAAATTTAATCAAGTTTATGAAAGGAATACATAGTGGCAGTAGAGAGGACTTCCAGTTCCTTTCACTCTATTTCGTATGTGATATAAATACTAAGAGGGCTTATATCTAGCTTTTAAGACCACCAGTGCTTACTTTCCCTCTGGAAAACCAAATTCCTTTGAGCACACACAGGATGTCTTACTTCAGTATCTCAGAGGGTATTTAGAAACTCCTGAAACTGGAAGAACAGGAGGAAATGTAGTGCAAATCATATCTGACTTCTCAGAATTTAAAACTAGAAAATTTTGCTGCTTGCACACACACAAAAGCAGAACAAAATGGATTGGTCAGGCATTAAACCTGAGTAATGAAAGCCTGGAGGCAATCCTAAACCAGTATTGACAACCCAGCAACTTTTGTCAGATATTTGAGAGAAGAAGAAGGGAACGGGGGGCTGCATAATGAATTCTAATAATATCATTAATTTGCTTGAATGATCTTTCCTATATGGTAAATTTAACCTGCTATGGGAAGAAATCTTGCTGCACACAAAGGAGGAAAAGAAGCATGTCAGATGAAGTGTAACTTCACCTAAATTATCCCCACTAGTGGGAAATTGTAACAGCTATATGATACCTGGAAGTGTCATTCTTACTACATTACTATGAAGACTATTACATCGTAGAGACAACATAAGGTGCATGAAGAGAAGCTAAGAATCCTGCCTGAAAACAACAATGGGATTAAAATTGCAGGGCTTTTCACAGCTTGCTTTTCAATTGCTAGATAATAATGAATATTGGCGTTGTAGTGGAAACTATTTCTGCCATTAGGCATTTACCTACAATTATTTAGTATCGCATGAAAAATTAATGGATTATGATGGAATCTGTATATATTGGCTTTCATAAAACCCATCATTTATTGAACAGAAATACTCATGCTATGTAATAAGCAACCACTGACTGTTCTTCTTGTCACTACTGACAACGTGGTGGCTTATGACTTTTTATTTTATAACTGCAAATTAGTCAAAACCTTTTCTATACACAACTATTAAATTCCTTCTGATTTCCTAATGAATACATACTGTAATGCTTCCTGTAAGGATTTTGCACTGCTAGCATAAGAAATTAATAGCAAAAGAATGCTGTCTTTGACCAGGATAGAAGTAAAGGCAAAGCATGTGACACTATGTTACATGAGATCTGAAACGAGTAAAGAAAGTATTTGCTCAAGTCTAAGAATAAATATGTTGCTTAAATAATTATTACAGCTTTTATAAAGTCCAAGTATCAAAATTAGTGAACAAAGGTACTAAAGTACCAATACCAAATTGGGGGTTTACTGAATGATCAAGCAAGTATGTACAGCTTTTTGTACTTTACAAGAAAAAAAATACACTAAGTTTACTAAATGTGCCTTTTATTGATCAGAACAACTAGTAATCTACCTTTTTTGTTTTATAGGTGTACATTGTGATATTCACTAAACAACAAAAGGAAAAGGATTAGAGTTTCTCCTTCAGAGAAAAAGATGAAGGAAAAATTGAACACATCGGTCTTAATGTATGTGCTACAGACAAACACAGCATTGCTGAACGACAGTTTACAAGCTCCTACTTTGCTGAAGAACACCTGAAGTACAACTGAAAGCAAATGTACCTGTATGCAAATCTATGAACTTTCTGTATTTCCCACTAAAGGGAGAATGATAAAAAATGCACTACCAATATTTAGCACTGGGGTATTCAGCAGGCAAGAAAGCAAGTATTTGATCCATAGGAACTTGCCTGCTCAGGGAAAATATAGCAATATATATCTCTATATACATCAATATCTTACATACAGGCAAATCAGACTCAGACATCAAGCTGTTGGCTAATTGTCAAAGAGCAGCTTATTTTCGTATAGGATATGAGGCATGGGTTTCTGAATATTCCATAAAGAAAAAAACAAATTTTGCCAAGCGGTAACAGAGATCGGTATTCCCCTAACCTGTGTCCTGGTCCTCCTCGATACCTTGCCCCTGGGATCAGAACAGGATCATCATCACTATCATCAGTTTCTTGGAGAGCTGAGGTCCTAGTAGAGGATTCGTCTGAAGGTGCAAGCCCTGAGGATTCTGGATGTGGCTGAGGTTCATCGTTTGCAGCAAGTGAGTTGGCAGTGGATTCAGTACTTGACATTTCTTGATTCACACTTTTTTCACCAGAGGCTTCTTCCTCTGCATTTCCAGAGACAGCATCAACACTGGGGTCATTTTCTTCTGGTTGGATTCCAGAACGCTCAGGAGCAGGTTTATCCGATACAGCTAAAAGAAAATATTGGGGAAAATAGGTCACACCATTAATGATGCTAACCTATTTTAGAAGTCATTGTAAATGGTCACAGAAGTTAAATTGTGCATACTGAGATTATATTGAAAATCTAGTTTTTCATTCCCTACTTCTTCATGTAACTATATTGGAAAGAGTACAGATACATACATGCTTCTGTCGTCTCTACAGTTTCATCTGTAGTTTTCAGATCTTCAGCACTTTTATCTTCCTTGGGAGATGCATCAGGAACGCCTGAATTAAACAACTTTATAGTAAATTACATGATTTCATTTAGATGCACATCTCTAACGTAAGCAAATCTAAATGATACTAGCACTCCTAGATCAATCCCTTCCGAAGTCCACATACTACTTTACTGTAATCTCAGATACTAATCACATAAAAGTCAGTGTATAGATATAAACTGATCTAGTTGCCTAGGTGAATATACTAACAAAGAAAAAGAAGTATTTGGTTTTTTGTCCTTAATATACTTAAAGTATTATACTTAATTTACTTAATATATCCTATGCAATGAGAACTTTAGCTGCAAAAATAGCATTAATACTGTTGAAACAGCTGATCACTTACTGAAAGCTACTATTTCTAAAGACGGAAATTGAGTTATCCCTCTATTGAAAGGCATTTAAAAAGAAAAAGATTTTGCTGGAACCAAACATTTGACTGACTGCCCTTTTGGCAACAAACTGAGGAAGACAACCACGTGTAACAAAATACAGTGAAAGCTTGAAAGAAATGTAACAAAATACCTAGCACTCATTTATGACCTCAAAATGCAGTTTTTCTATTTTTCTATGCAAATTTGGGCAGCATACATCTTTAATAAGAAAGAGTATGGGTTTTAGAACTAAAGACAGGATAAGTTTATTTTCTTTATATTTATTAGCAACTATTTCAGATTGGTGTATTTTTCTTTCCTAAAAAATTTCATGTCCTATTGTGGCTGTATTCTGCCTTCATATGCATGTATATGGGACTCCCATTTTGTTCAATGGTAGTCATGAACATATGAAAGCAGAATTTTTACCTCAGCATTACAGAAATAACGCTGTATCTTACTTGTTCCTTCATCTTCAGGCCCCGATTCTTCAAAGGCTTTTGTTTTTACAGAGTCGTCTTGGCCTTCAGTTTTGCAATGACTTCCACTCCCTCTAGAGCTTGAATTTGTGCTGCTCCTGGCAACATAACATGTAAAAAATAAAATTTAGAAAGAATGTAAATAGATGAGATCTTTACAATAGCACAGCCTAACCATCATCATCGTTCTCACTGCAGCCTCATAACTCAATAGCTCCTGGCAGCAACTACAACTAACAACCCTCATACCCATTTCAAAATTCTCTTTCAGTATTTCCATCGCTACTCACCCCATATTATTTCTCTGCATCACAGAACCTTTAAAGGATTTCTTCATTGCTTTTCAAAATATTATTAGAAGTCAAAAGGATTTACACTATTTACACATTTTTTTACATGCATAAGTGTTCAGAGAACTAAAGGTATTACAAGCTGTTAGCTGAGCACTGATACATAATCTTATCCAACCCAATTAAAAATCTGATTCAGATAAAATTCTCCAGGTATGATCATTCCTGTACTTTTTGAGGCATTTTAATTTTTACTTCAGTGTTATGTTTCACACTAGCAGTTGTGTGAAAAGGATGTTTTTGAGAGAGCAAAATAACATCTTGTGCTTTTGTTACATTAAGCCCTACAGTCTGCTTCCATAGCAGGTTTTCTGTTTCCCCGGTTCCCTGCATAACCCTTTGTTGAATCTCTGCCAATTTGAATCAGTTTTCTTGAAAACATGACAAAGTTTGCACATAGCACTCTAAGTCACAAAAGCAAAGCAGACTTGAGCAGCAGCACCAGTAATTCTCATTCTTGGCTGAGGTTTCCCAGCTGGTAACTTCTAGGATCATACCTGCCCTTTTAGTAGCTGCATTACATTGAGAATGAAGTGACTGGTAGGTCCATGTCTTCCTGCATTTCATTTTCATAACACTCCTAACTTTCATATCAGGTTTTTGATATTTATCCTCAACTGCATCATTTTGTTCTATGGAATTGCATCCTACTTCATTATTGTTTTCTTTGGAACAATATTTTTGGTTAGCCTCTGAACTGACAATGCCATGCAACTTTGTTCCACTAAAGAATGCTTCTTCCTCTCGCTTCCCACGCTACACTACCCACTACAAAAGCTCCATTAACTTAGTTTACCACCATGTTCAGTTTCTTTATTGATCTATCAGACCCACTGTCCTGGGTTCAGCTACAGCAGTCATTTTTCTCCTTCTCAGTAGCTGGAGCAGTGCTGTGTTTTTGACACCCACCTTGAACAGAAGTTCATGCAGGAAAGTATCAAATACTTTATGGAAATTCAGACAGTTTTTCTCTATTACACCATATATGTTTCTAGAACCCATTATTATGTCAAATAAGAGGTACTGAATTTTGTACATTCTACTTCCCATAATTTTAATTTATTTCCCATGTTCTGCTTGTTTCTGTCCTAAAGCCTTGAATATGGCTACCACTAGTCTGAAAAGATAATGATGTTTAGTCCTTCATTCTCCTTTGACAGTACATTTGATGCTCATCATTCATATGGTGCTAACCTTTGGCCCAAGAGATTTGTTAGAATACCTGCTATTTGACTGAATATATATGTGAAGTTAAGTTTTAGTAGTTTTCACTACTAGTAGTCTTTACTTCCCCAATTACAGATTTTTGTAACAGGTATTTTTCCTGTCCCTCATCTACATTTCCTGTATCCCCTACTTTTTCTTAATATTGTTTTTGAGGTAGCTGTTGATGCACATTTACCATCTTCAGCATCACTTATGTCATTAACTGTTTGAAGTGTAAAACGCATTTTTCAAATTTTGTTTTAAAATAAACACAGAAACAAAGTGTTAATGTTTAATAACATGTGCTTTCTCTGATACAGTGGTAGTAATATTTTATTACTACATTAAGAAACCCAACTAGAATAAACGGGCAAAACATTTGCAAAACTAATTCTTTCAAAGCTTGCTGGATTTGGACGCTAAATAGAAAAACAGTCTGATAAATTGGTTGAAGATAACTACCACAGTATTTCAGATTCACATGGGCAAAGTCTTCATTCTTGCGAGAACACACAGATCACTGTTTAAAGCTTCCAAACTGCTATGGGCAAGGTGTATGTTTTATGTCCAAAGCCACAGAACTTAAAAGTAACTAAATTTGATGGGTTTGTGTTTTGGGTTTTTTTTTTTCCAGCCCAGTAACAAGTGCCAGCAAGTATTTCTACTGACCATCTTCTATAATAATTTTGAAAACATAAGCAAAGGAATAGAAATAAGAGGAGATAAAGCAAAGATTCTGCTTGTTTTGGGAGATCCTGAGATTCTCTAGTCACAGACTTTGATATAAAACCAAGTCAGTCAGGCCAGTTAGCCCCTGGACCACCATCACTGTACTACCCTCCTATACTAAGATAGTGAACACTAATTTTATGCTAGGGTTTGATGAAGATAGCATGTTTCAAATTAAAAAGATTCACAGTATCACAAAAAAATCCCATCCTTTTGCATAAAGGTTTAATTTTAAGTATGTCTTTTATGTTCTGAATGTATTAACAACTAAAGCCATCGCAAATTGTCTGTATACACCTAAAAATATAGATACGCCATAAGAAAAAATAATTTATCTGCATCTATGCTAGACAAGTGTTAGTGATATGTGCTGATCAATAGCCAATCAAAACCAAAATTAACTTCTTACCACTCATCAGTGAAGTCCAGTTTTATCGTGCTTGTAGTTGTTCCTTCTGTACTGTAGTGCAAGCTTAAAACTGGTTCACCCGCTCCTGTTCGTGGCTTATCGCTTTCTGCAAATATGGGGTTGATAAAGTTTGGATTGCAATCACTAATATACATAAAGCTGTTATAATTCTGAAGACTCATTTAATTATCTTAACAAAGGCCAAATGTGGTAGTAACATGTACAATATCTATTTAAAAGCTCTTACAGCCCAAGCAAAAAGTTAAAAAGTTTCAGAGTAAACACATTAAATCTGCAATGCTTTAAAAATTATTTGTATTTATAAGAGCAAACAAAGAAGATCCTGTCCTTCAACATGCAGGTAAATAAAATTATGGGTAGATACATGTACACACAATATTATCCTTTATAAGCAGATCCCTTTTCTATCATGTATATTAAGAATAAAAAGTGGTTTTGGAAGTGGTGTTCAATCTTTTTTTCTCAGTAAATACATATTTTAAAAGATTATGAGATCTAGACACAAACAGTCTAGAAGCATCACTACCCCCTTTACTTTTTTTTTTCCTTCTTACAAACTAGTCAACTACAAATATGTTTAGACCTGCTTTAAATTGTCAGCTATTTGTCATAGAAACACTGTAAATTCATGTTCTGAGAGCTTTGGGTTTAAAAAACCTTTCATATTATAGCAACCTTAAGCAGAAGGGGAGTATTTGCAAAATGAACTCTTCCCCACATCCGAAAGCAAGAGAAGTGAATCAAAAAAACACTGCAAGTCTGCCAAACATCTGCTGCATATATAGTTTTAAGGATGTTCAGTGGTCTACTTCAAAACAGAACTGTTCAATGCACCACCCTTGAATAAAATTCATGGTCACAACCTATCTATACACATGGCACAGTTGCCATTAATACTGAAGATGGCCTTGGGCAATACTAAAAAGTTAATGTAAAGTACCACCTGATTAAGCCTCACTACAGAGGTGCCATTCTCTCAGAACTCAGTTGGGAGAGTTTACTTAGTATTAGGTGCCAATCAAATGACCACTAAGTAGACTATGTAGTCTCACTCATCATGAATGCTGAACTTTTAATCTCAGGAGTGTTTGGACAAAAGCATACCATACTTTCTGTCATTTGTAGAGTACAGAAATTTGACTACCAGTATTGACAGTATTGCAGTATTGAAAGCAGAGTGACACTTAGAATAAAGCAAAAGCTTCAGATCATCTTTGGTAAACATCAATTAAAATCTAACTTTTGATTTAAGCACAAACCTACCAATTCCCCAACTAAAAAGGCAATTATTATAACAGTAATAGCTACAATACTGCCATATAATATTTATGTTTAAAAATACAATTAAGTTACAGGATTTATGAAACAGAACATGAGAATTTAACTGAACAATCAATGCTCATATTTTGAAACTGCTGACAGGCAGGAGCCCACTCAGAGGATCAGAGCAGTGATCGGCTGCACCAAAGAACTTTAAATATGTATTTCTACATATTTTGAAGAGGAATTAAAAAACAAAAACAAAAACAAAAGCCAAAACCAAGCCAAAAAAACCCATAAGAAAAAATTAAAATAATTTTATGTGAAAGAGAATTACCCAATTACAACCATGATCCTAATCATACATTTGCATGGACTTCATTCTATGCAACAACAAGCACATAGAGTCTCTAAAATAAAGTTTCCACTTATACTTGTGTTGAGTGGAGCAAAAAAAACCTGATCAAAAGCAAGTTTTCCATTTCCTGAAATAACTGAGCAAGAAAAGAAACAGATGTCAGGAAATATTTTAGTGCATATATAGATATTTTTGGAAAAAAATTACATGTTCTTTCTTAACTAAACAGGTGCTCTATTTTTTGGCAACCTACCCTATCTGTTCAAACTTGAGCATCCCTTCCTAAGCATGTACAAATACTGATCACTCCAACATACTGCACAAGTTACCAGGAGGTGGACAGAGAAAGAGTAAAAAAAAGACATAGTTGACTTTACCTTTCTTGCAATAGGTACCAACAAGACCTATCCTGGGAACCCAGATAGGTAAAGGAAAGCAACCTCCTGAATAGTCCAAGACAGCCACCAAACAATGACTACACCTTAATTTGATACTGCTGTGCAACATTTGCTCCAGCACAAAACTAGTTAATATTACTGACCAAAGTAACCAAACATCACTACCCTATAATGAACCTAACTGACTATTAGGCTTGTGTTATAAAGCTCAGATCTTAGTACCATAACAGTGCTTTCCTGTGTTAAAATCTTAACATGACTGTCCTCTACACTTTCTGTGGAAGGAAAGCTCATATTTATTCACACTCAAAAAGTTAGAAGAATTGGTGTAGACTTATGCAAAGAGGACATGGACTAACTGAGAAATTATTTTTACAAATTTCTGGAAATAGCTGTTAAACTATATTGTGTAATAGCTTTGTCTTAAATCTACAATAACATGAGCTACAATTTGAATTGGGTCAGTTTCTTCTTTTAACTAGCTTTTAGAGCACAAAATCAAACACTAATAAGAACAAGAAACTTTAAGAAAACAGATGAGACAAGAATCTGATAATAAACCACACAGAATTAGTTGTGTAGTTCAGCATTTTATATTAATAATGCTAACGAAAGCTGAATGGAAGCCTCTGTGAAGAAATTTAATAAGCTTTGCCTAGTACATAACTGAACAATCTTTTAGAGAAATCACATAAACTCCAGAAGTCCTGAACTCTGTTTTCAAGAACAATGTGATTGCCAAAGACTGACTAGATCATAATGAAACACTGTTCTCTTTCACAACTAGTTTCATCCCATTAGGCCAGATCTACTTCACATTGATAAAAAAGAATGAACAGAAGAAGAGGAAAAGTTGTACAGCTTCTGTGATGTAGGGAGCTATTGCCAAAACCATTAATCTGATGGTTTTGGCAAACTCTAGTAGGGTAAGAATTGTTCCAAGAAAAAGTGGTAGCCTGGCAATGCCTTACTGAACTCTATTCCAAATTCCTTAAAAATACGCTGAAACTTTAAAGTATAATGTGTTTGGCTGTAAAATCTAGTAAAGATATTATCAACAACTTATATTCTTATTTCATAAGCAACCCTGTTCTAGAACAGACACTCCCAAGAACGGTCTGTTCTCTAGGTGCCTACAGAACGAAGGTATTTTTAAACTACCACCCTTAAAACTGAAGACAAGATTTCATTCATAAGCTTATGAAAAACAAACACGAAACAAAAAAACCCCACAACAAACCAGCTAACCCCACTCATACACACTCAAAGCAATACCTCTCATACACACTTTTTCGCCTTAGAAAATTAGTTTATGTAAGTGTATGTTTACTCTCTTAACTATGAAGTGGTAAGCGCATGAAGCCAGTTTAACTAGGTAATGCAATCTGTAAACCTAACATTGTAAGGAAGTTCAAGCTCGTTCCCCACATCTCAAATGCTGCCCTATTCACTCGTGTATTGACAACCCCACAAGAACGGGGTGGGCAAATTTTCATGAAAAACTTCCCCAAAAAATTCCTATCCAGCACTAACCATGATCTCCTCATAAGAAAAACAGCTTTCTACATTCTGAAGATAAGGTTATGTTCTGGGTGAAAACAAGACAGTTACTTCTGAGGGAAGAAAAATTGATCCAAAGAGGAGAAAGAACATGGTGTATTTCAGAAATTAGGAATTCTATGGGAAGGCTTAGCACATGAAAATTCATCAGAAGCAGCTGAACTCAAAGGAAAGGGTGGAGATTCTTCTGTCTAGCGAGGAATACTGACTAAACAATGTTTCACAGATACGAGTCAGTATAACACACAATGACTAAGGGAAGACCAAAAATCAAATAATTGGATGGACCAACTTAACCTACAGCCCAAGGCATACACTTACTTTGTCTAGATGATTCCTACAATAATTAGATGCAGTACTGCACTTTACTGAAGAAGGTGGCAGTACAGACCACGCTGTGCCTTGCATGAACCACAGGTTTGAAATTCTTGAGCTTGGACTTGCAGAGTTCACTATAGGTCTGGAAAGCTCTATATGCAGACCAACACTCTTACCAGTTCATCTGACTGTGATGCAGAGCTAATTAGCTGGGACAGGACATGCCAATACAGTTCCCAGGATTTACAGTACTGTCCATAAGGAACTAACTCTGCCATAGCCGACACGCCAGCTTGTTCTGAGCCAGCTCAAGTATCTATAATATGGCACCGAAAAATCTGGTATGGACATTGCCATAAGGGATTACTAAACCCCCATACTAACTTGCAGATATCTAGAAATATCAGTATTTAGTACGGCTTCTGTGTATGTAGGAAAAGCATTACACTGGTATGGGATGCACACACACATTTGAACTTCGAAGTTGTTGAGCTAGCTCTCGGGCTTCAGGTTCCCTCTTTAATCACAATTCAGGCATTACCTTACAGTCATAACATTGCCTTCACACTGCAACAAACATAAAAGCCAACCCTCCCTTATTACAATCACAGTAAACATAAAACAAAAAAGTAAAAAAAAATAAAATCCAGCACAGAGCACAGTAATCCATTTGAAAACATTTTGTCAGGATGGGAATGACTTATTGCTTCTGCTGGACTGTCAGAATAATAGCATTATAAATTTATATGTATGTGGTAAGTATCAAAAAAATCTTTAAACCCATAAACAACTTTAAAATGCAGATGCCAACAGAAGAGACTGGTCCAACAGAAGACAGCTGCTTCAGTACCAAATTAAGGAAAGATAGGAATTAGAAATAAAAAGCATTTATATATAAAAAGAACTGATATGACTTCCTTCATTAACTTGAACTGGTATAACTTCCTTCATTAGCTACTTACACTTTCTTTGAAATTTGTATTCAAATATGAATTGAAACTAATGCAGTTTAACTTCAAAACTCCAACTGGATCTCAGCAAATTATTCCTCTGGTTATCATTTAATTCATAACTTCATAGAACAGTTTATCAGTTTTCCAATTTTTCTGCAGTGGTAAGAACTTCAGGAAACATATAGACTTTCGGTGCTAATTTTTGTTTATTCTAGTCTCATCAAATAATGCTTTTCTGAGCTCATAACAGAGAGCATAACTTGACCACTAATTTTAAGCAAGTTTTCCAGCTATACCTGACTATTAGAGTGATGTAGACTACTGAACCACGTATAATTGGCAAATCTACACACTGATGTTTAAGGCTATTACATCACAAAATCTAATCCCACAAAATTAATTTATTTTGTCAATATAAAACACAGCTTGATTTTTTTTCCCCAACATTCTTGCATCCTATAATAAATCATAATCTCAACAGTTGCTAAACAATTTTTCAGAAATAGGTTTTCAAAGCAGCCTTCTAGTTTAAAATGTGAAACAAGATGAAACAGCCAGTTCCTTCGTGGGATTTGAGCTATTAAATCTCTACAAAGACCGTGATATGGAAGTAAGCATAATGCAGAATGCATGGAAATCTATTTTTAAATTACCATCTACCACTCATTAATTATTCAAGCACAAATATTCACTACAGATGACATCGGTTCAGCTGGTATAGGGTCACCTATGGCCCTCTTCACTGCTCACAGTTTGAAGGCTGATGAATAATGGACAGAGAGAAAGCTCACAAGCATTCTTTCTACCACCAGCCTATAGGGCATGTACAGAGAAACACTAGTACTTGTTTAGCAGAAGGGATGTAGGACAAAGGGGTTACAGAGGCAAGATGCACCTAAGACCAATAGGTGTTCTTGAGTTACTCAAACTATATACAAGTATAACAAAGCTGCACATCTCTCTTGCATAAGATAAATTAACTTGGCATTCAGTTTTGATATTTGCACTTTGATCCAAGAAAAGCCATTCAGAAAAAAGACTGTTGAAAAAATTCATTTTACTTTGCATTTTGAAAAAATATTCTAAATGTCAGTAGAGTACATGAGACACTTACTGTACCTCCATTGAACGCATTAAGAATAGAGAATAAGATGGCTTTTGAAAACAATTAACCTTACTCTGTTACTGATAGTGGGAATTAAATAATTAATGAGTTTCCAGCAGATCTGCTTACAGAATTCTATTTTATGTAGATGAACAGCATTTTTACACTGTTTATCATCATGAAAGGCAATTTTAAAAGGAAGCATTGCAATCAGCTATGGCTGGGTATAGCGCATTTCCTGTCACACGCACCCTGTTGCTCATCAAGTGACATGGATCCAAGCTGTTTGTTAACCACAGAAGAAGGAGAATCTGAAACAAAAATGAGATTTCAACTTAAAACATAAGCAGCAGAGAACTGCACAGCAATGTCACGATCATATGTTAGTTTAAAATAAAAAATAAAAAGCAGCAACATAAGGAAGCTTTGGGTTTGTTTTATGAGCAGCCAGCCATATTGCACTTTCTAGGCATGACAGAAGCAAAGCCACTTGTTTCAAAACATTATGTATTACTTTAGGTAATTATCGAAAAGCCTGAAGCTTGCTGAAATGTCAGTAATAAAAATGCCTGTCCATTACCAAAGATTTTACTACATTCTTCAAGTTTCTAACATGTCAGGAAAAACACTGAATGACTCCTAAAGCCTTTGCTCTAACTACCGAATGACACTAGTATTTCAAACCATGTGCTAAATGTGTATTTCAGAATATTTATACTTCAACATAAAATACTCAATATGTAAACCTATAAGTATAAAATAAAAAGGATTAAACTGTTTACAGATAACAGCATAGAGACTGCTTGATAATTCTGTGTTCCTAGATGCTATAACTCTGTAGCACCTGAGAACATGTCTTCGTGAGTTTATCACAGTACTACACCAGTCCTACAAAACTCATAACCACAGAGAAAAAAAAATACCTACCCAACCCAAAAAACCAAAAACCAACAAACAAAAGCAACACCCCCAGCAGTTACTGCATTTTTTTCCACTGGACATTACCAGCTAATAACTATCACCAGCACTGCATTCATTGTACAGACAAATGATAGGTGCAATGTTCAGTATCTTCTGTGGGTCTATTTCCCTTGTTACCTCTGAAGACCAGATCTTACTTCTGTATTATCTTAAAATAAGCTGATGTACATAAATTAGTGCAGTATTTCAAAGATATTGGCTAGGCTATGTATCGTGCTTCCATCTGTTAATCTTCTATTATAAAAAAATCCCAGCTAAACTAAAAGGATTCAATCTGTATTATAAACTGAGTCATACTTGCCACCATCCCAGCATGGTGAAGGAATATGAACATAAATTTAAATCCTATACAATAAAAGTGATGATATAATACACTCT